GAATCCGTTGAACAATATCAAAGTCTCATTGGAGCTTTGTTGTACGTAGCCGTGAGTACTAGACCAGACATTTCGATTGCAACCTCGATCTTGGGACGACGCGTTCAAGCGCCAACCGAAGGCGATTGGAATGAGGCTAAACGTGTATTGCGATATCTTAAGAACACGATCAACTTGGAGCTCTGCCTTGGGTGTGACAATACGCAACTGGAGTGCTTTGTTGACGCGGATTGGGCCGGTGATGTGTCCGACCGCAAATCAAGTTCCGGATACCTCTTCAAGTTTCACGGTGGCGTTATTGGATGGGGCTGTCGTAAGCAGAAGTGCGTCGCTATGTCAAGGACCGAGGCCGAATACATCGCACTAGCGGAGTGCCTCCAAGAATTACAATGGATTCGCAAGCTTATGGAAGACGTCGGAGAACAGCTGGATTACCCGATACCTGTCAAGGAAGACAATCAAAGCTGCATCGCCTTAACGAAAGTAGACCGGAACGAGAAGAAATCCAAGCATCTAGATACGAAGTACAGCTTTGCAAAGGATCTGGTTCAGGAAGGCATCGTGCAGCTGCAATACTACCCTACTGAATATATGGAAGCAGACTTACTGACCAAACCATTACAGGCAGTTAGGTTGAAGAATCTACGAAGGGCGATTGGTGTCAAACCGATCAGTGTTGAGGAGGAGTGTTGAACCCCCAGGTTCGACTTACAGCATTTACTTCACTGCGAATGCCGATCAGGCAACACTTCCCATTTGACAGTTGTTCAGTTCCACTGTAAACCGAAGACGACAATTGGCAAATCAAAGTTGGCACTCGTGGAGAATAGAAGAACTATGAAAGTGATGATGGTTTCAAAATTTTCCACGGGGAAGTATACGAGTGCAATCTTAAAATGCTTTTATTTTTAAAATGGAGCATTTTATTTAAATCTGGTTACTGCTACAGTGGTAGAAAAGCGGAAGTCTATGTTTACACCTAAAAATCTGAAAAGAAATTATATTTTCTGTATTATATGTCTATTGAGTAGTCCTGAAGTTTTCTACTAACGTAGCACTAACCAGAGTTAAATAAAATGCTCCATTCACAAAATAAAAGCATTTTAAGATTGCACTCGTATACTTCCCTGTGGAAAATTTTGAAACCATCATCACTTTCATAGTTCTTCTATTCTCCACGAGAGCCAACTTTGATTTGCCAATAAAATTCATTCCTTCTTGTTTTGAGCTAGAGAACACTAGCTAGCACTAGCACTTTTATTACTCCGAGCCCCTGTTCCAAGAACTGTGTCTGCTAACAATTCTATCTACTGCTTCAAAAAGAACTATGTTCCATCAACTGTGTGCAAAATTATTAGCAAATGAGCAGTTCGTGGGCAAAACTGTGTGTGCCAAGCATGACTGTGATCTGTCAAAAATTCTTGGTAAACAAAAAAGTCAGCTAATCACAACTGTCTCGTGGACAGCCTTAATATATTCAATTAACATAGTTTCCGTCATGAATCCAATGCAAACCAATAAGATCGAAGAGACGAAGAAATAATGCATCTGTAAATAGGCAATACTACTGCATAGCAACGCTCTTGATTGGCTTCCGACCGACTTGAAAATACTAGTTAAAAATCCTTTGAAAAGCCCCCTGTCGAGCTAGTCGAAAAAAGAATGCACACACGTCAAACTCCGTCAAGAATTTAAACAGCGGAGGAACAAAAGCGACGAAAAATTATCTGGGCCCCACCTGTTTACATCTCATTACGCATTACCGTAACTATTAACAATTCGCCTCTTCGGTCACTCTGTAGCTCTTCACTCCTATGGTAAAATCCCATAAGCAAACATCAGTCTGTGCGTGATACTTGGTGAACATTTCCTTACCCTTTCACTCCTATGAAAATCCCATATGATTCTGTCAATCTTTGCGTGAAGAAACGGCGGCTTGCTGGAGGAATGAAGAGATAAGACAAAGTCCGCTATATTTCATGCACAGATTGTCACATGCTTATGGGATTTTACCAGGAGTAAAGAGTTGCAAAGTCGCCGTCAACGTCAATGCTTACTTTCGTAAGCGTAAGGGCCCGAGATGTTTTTAAGACAGGTGGGCAGGAACTCACGGTCTCCCAGTGTTGGTGACTTCTTTGCCGTTAATGTTCACGAAAAATTCACTATTTTGCCATACACAAATTCTAAACAAAAATTTTTATCTGCGGATGTTTTTGACCTGTTTCATACGACCGGAAGGTGTATGCTGGTTACAAATGCCGTGCCAAACTGATTTCCTACGTAATTAATCAATCTTTGATGTAAATTTCGCTAATAAACACGAGGAGCATTTCTTATGGCAAAACTTGCCATAACAAAATGGGCGGTTCATTTTAGTAAACAAACTAACACTTCTTCCGACTGTGGCACCTCTCTTACTCGCCTAGGTAAGGGCCAATGCTGCAAACGTAAACAATTACTTTTTGTGTGAATTTCTCGAAAATGAAAACTCACTCAAGAAAATCAACACCATGATTGTGTAGAGAAAGAGTCCTCCTATCCGATAAAATTAGTGGCTTGCATGGTTTGACTTTGACCTACGAGATATTTACGAAAGAAGCCATTATTTATTTTGACTATATGTTTAGTATTACCATAGAGGTAACTCTAAGACCACTGGGTCCCGAAGAAAATCATTATTATTTTTGGCTCACTCAGTACCAGAACAACGGTCCCAAGCAGTCCCAAGCTATTTCACTCACCCCTGCATGTTCTGCATGAATCCACACACCCCTGATGTTATCTGTCAAACTTTCATAGTGAATCAAAACAAACATAGTGTAGTAATAGAATTTCAACTAGTATAGGGTACGTTAATCGTTTGCTTGGGACCAATAGGCTACTAAAGTGGTGAGCCAATTTAAAATCGTTAGTTTCGTATTGATTGTTGGTATTACCATAGAGGTAACTCTAAGAGCAGAAAGTCCCGAAGAAACGAGCTCAACTTTTTGGCTCAGCTCTGGTACTATCTTGGGTCCCAAGCTAATCGATTCACCCCTCGAAACATAAGAAAATCCACGAACCCCTCAATTTATCTGTCAAACTTTCATAGCGAATAAAAAACAAACATAGTGTAGTACTAGAATTTCGACAAGAATGGGGTACGTTAGTCGATTTGCTTGGGACCAATAGGCTAGTCAAGTAGTGAGCCAATTTAAAATCAGTAGTTTCGTATTGATTGTTGGTATTACTTCTGCGTGAAGTCAACGATTTACATAGTTGAAGATGCTAATTTCAAATAACAGACTGTAGTGGTAATTTTTATACGATAGATGGAGGAGATGAAAGTATAGAGTTGATAGTTCCGTTAGAGTACAGCAGTGTGAAAATTGCATATAGATAGTAGAATAGCGAGCTAGGACAACTTTTAAGGAAGGTATAAACCGGTTTTTTCAACTCTCTTTACCAAACTCCTCCTTTGGAGAGGGATGGTGAGGGGTGTCCCCCTCTTGCCACCACTGGCAAAAAGAGATGAAAACCGACCGCTCAAGTACCAACGATGTGTTTGAAACAGTTCTACCGATTTTTTACCGCCCTTCAGTTGTTATTTCAAGAAAGGCATCCAGTCGTAGGTTTGGAAATTGCAACTATTGTTTACCCCTACCGTTAAAGATACGCTTGTTTTATTACTTTACAATTTAATTTAAGGATAACATTTTGAGTGTTGATTCTAATACTTTATCCTTTGAACAAATCTGTTTAGAGGGTGTGAGCCTTGGTGTTGGTCCTGATCGTTGGATTTTTTCTGACAACCTTTTCGAATGACTCAGCACCACGTAGGTGAAAACCAATCTCGCTAGCTGTTCGTCAATGGCCGAGTATGTAAATCAGGTAATTTCAACGGTTCACCAACTCAACGGAATTGGATTTAAAATTTCGGAAAAGTGAATTGGTGCCCTACTGCTGTGTGGGCTTCCCGACATCTGTATTCACATCTAAGCGTGCGCTAGCGGCCCTAATAAACAAATACCATAAACGAACTGTATCCCGGATGGGTAAACTATCCCACAAATGGTTTGGATGATACCCCGAACACGTCGTTAAGCTCTCTTTTATGGTTATTTTTATTAGGGGGGCCGGAGCAAAATTTGCGTTGGTATGAGAGAGAGAGATAACTACCGTAGAACCCCGTTAGATTGAATTACAGATACCATATATTCCATAGATAAGCGGAGGTACAAAAAGTTGTTTAGGGAACCATGAATAATAAATGGCATTCGAGAAAAATGTTCATGCCATGTTTTGTTTTGTTATGTTTCGTGCGCAAAAGCTCAAAATTAAGTGCAAAGCAAATCTTTGCCACAATTAATCAAGGATTGGTTTTGGTTATACTCCCTTCTTCCGTTCGGAATATGGAGTGTGGAAAATGTTTTATGCTTTATTACAATACATGCAATATTACAATGCTCCCGCAATGATGACAACGTGCTCGTTTGGCTACACTAACTGACACCTCGTTTGGCTACATGGCTATGGAATCTATAGTATCTATAGTTTGAATAGCTAAAATGCCACTCATTTAGTTTGTGTTTGTTTAACCGGTACCCTGAGAAGATTTTAGGTTCTGCTCACGCAGAGTTGCCATCGCAGACCTGTGCAGTAGTCTTTGAAATCTCCGGCAGTTCCCTGAATTCGTCCTGGAAGTATGCTGAACTTTGTCCCAAAACTTTTGGACTACCCTACAAAATCTTCCCAATCTGCCCCACAACACTCTCCACGATTAAGATGATTCCTTGTAGAGTCCACAAATGGCCACAACGTAGGCTACACATGTACTTCCACTTCGAATCTCGGAAATTAGAGCCCAATTTTATCTGAAATTGCTACTACGTGGAGGTTAATTGTAGTACGTGTCGTGAAAGCCGATATTTGTGCGAAGTGGTCACGAGAATAAGGATTGTACAGCGATTTTGTAGTTAAGGAAATAAGCCAACGATAGATACATTATCGATATAACCTACCGTTGCCCTTCGGTGTGAATTCGACAGCAGGCTGCTCACATTCATATTGTCCAACCGCTTCCAGTAGGCATCGCTGGCATTCTTCTCGGTTGACCACATGCTGTTGTAGTACGTATGGTAATCCTCCTGCGTTTTGGTTATATTGTGATTCTGCAGGGTAGTGTTCAAGTCAGCCTCACTCCGTTCTACCGTATCGATATTGATGGCATCACTGAGCGGATCTGCCGTGGTCGTTGAAGTGGCATTGTTCGGACTGCTATTATTGCCGGCATTAGCGGTTGCAAGAATTTTCGATATCAGTCTGCTCTTGACATCACTTGCAACCGATTCGATCGAAGCGTTGCTACTGCTGGGAGCGGACACGCTCGGAACGGTAGTCGGCTCCACACCGGGTTTTATCGATACAATGGAGTAATCCTTCCGTTGACCAGTTCCGTTGGCTCCGAACACATGGTCTGTGTAGATGGTCCCGTTCAGGCTGGTGGCCACCTTTTTGCCGGTCAGATTTTCATTCAGCAGTTTCTGCTTCGCTGCACTGGTTTTGTTTTCGTTGATCTGAACTTTCTGGTCAACTGGTTGCGCCGGATCCACCGGTGGTGACTCGGCTAAAGACTTCTTCGATGGATCGGATTGTCGCCTCACGCGGACAGCTGTTACAGAATCTGCAAAAAATATAAATAAACACGAATATGAGTTATCATCGCACGTAATCTAGCTCAACAGAAAACGGAAAATGTTTATTCTGGTTGCATAAATCGGCCTTATCGGTCTGTTTTGGTAAATGTTATTCCCTTTAAAATGCGGGCATGAAGTGAGTAATTACTGCAACAGCAACAATCACAACGAATGGCGCCGCGAGACGAACGCCGGCGCCCAAGCAATCCGATGGGTCATACGGTCAATCAGCAACGACGAACCCTGTCTATCGCTCTCGGTGGTTGCTGTTTGTTGTCTAGAACTACATGTCTATCAAGGATCATTACACGCATCGTCAGCCGTACAAGTCACGCATTTATAAATAAAACCGGCTTCAATGATGCGGTTCATTATCGCTGAATCTCACAAAAGACGCTAGAAATTCCTCATCCGTTGGCTCTGTGCGGTTAATTGGAGGGATGTGGGTGGTTTGACAATGGACTGTAACATTTTGAGGGAGGTTAGGGAGAAGGAAGTTGTACCACAAAACATGCATTCATACATGATTCATCTACCTAAGGTATAGGCATTCTTTTCACGTAAACTGGCGAACCTCTAGTCCTCATTCATATAATAGCGCAAACGTTATTATGACATGTAGTTTAAAGCAAAAACTCGGCAAAACAATCATTTCGATCACTATTACGCAAAAACTTCACCTAACCTAACAATAAGATCGATAAATTCAGCAACAGTAACGACTCGATTATGTCAGCCCCTCCCCGCACATCAGACTATTATCTCTTAATAATTTCACATAGCCGTAATTCCAACTCTTGCTTATTCATCTTCAAGATGGATGTTTAAGGTATACTTTAGTGCAAAATCTGACAAAATCGGGTCATTACTGTACAGCCAAAAAAAAAAAAGACAAATTGCTCAATCCACACGCACATTGCTTCGTCTGCGCATTCACTCTCCGCCATAATTCAGCACAAGGCCACAGCACGGCAGCTTTTCCCAGCCACTTCATGATCTTCACTCAATAGTAGAAACCTACTTAGCGAGCAAAGTTTATTACAGCATGGTCTGTGGATCAATTTTTACGGAATAATTACCCGCCTTCCCACGTAGGAATTTGCTGCTGCGAGCTTTTCCAGCCAAAACATTCGATTAGCGTGAGATTCCAGACGGTGCCATGTGGGGATGCCACAGGTGCTATCAACAGCGAACGCTATCCAGTACTTCTGAAGAAAATCCAATCAAACCGAACAGTTTGGTCGATATCGGCTGATATCATTATTGGTAGGCAGCTGTTCGTTCGTGTCTCTTCATATGAATTATGAAAACTTTTTATTCGTTTCCATTTTGGGCGCAAAGGCTGGCGTGAGATTCGATTGTCGAGGTCAAAGTCAGTCAACCGACGACGTTTGTCCCTGAACTTCCGTGGTTCCGTTTTATTTTATTCTATTAAACGTTGGTCAAAGAGTAGGTTAATAAACAACAAACTTTCACCAACCAACAACGGTGACAAGGCTGATGAACTACTTTCGATCGACCAATGCTGCCTCGGACGGATTTTTCTGCAAATCAAATTAGGTTCTCACGACGCGCCGCGAAACAAATTGCTTACAGCTCAATATCAATTCAGTGTTCGTAGGTAGGCTTAAAACCAGAGATAGAGAGAGCAATGAAGCAGTTGATAAACAAAAGGAAACCACAACGTACTACCCACTTCTGGTTTGTAGAGCAAATTCATAAAGTTTACCATCTGCTTCCTGACAACGACGATGGCAAATACAATTCTACGCTTGCAGTTCGCAGTTTAGCAACTTTCGCATCTTCTTCATTGGGGCCTATAAATTCCCAGCGGAAACAATGGACCCCTCCCCCATTACCATTAAGATAGTTGTGGTAAAGTGCTGGCTTTTGACAGTACCTATCAGCCGGTACTGTTGGATGGTGGTGGTATATATCACGTGCAAAACTGGCGGGATCAGCGATTCCAGCTATACAGATTGTTATGGAATGATGCAGATTTTCGGACAATTGTATACAGATTACAGATTTTTTTTCAATATACAGATTTTGTAGAAAATCTACTGAATTATACAGATTTTTGAACCTGTACAAAAGATGGGTAGAGCTTTAAATATAGATGGAAAATTTGGCATCACTGGACGCATTGTGCCACTCACTTGATTGCAGTTTACAACTTATATCGGAACAATATAACTTTCGCAGAGGCTATCGAATGTGCACTGTCTCATGATCATCTGTATACTCTGGTTGGCATCTTCTGTTAAATAATAGCATTGTAATTATGATGAGTCATTATCACGGATATGCATTGGGGTGGATCAAGTTTTCAGTTTTACTTCAAAATACGTTGGGAAGCCGGAAGCAACAGGAACGGTTTAGATAATTCCAAGCGACAATGTATAGGGTAAATGTCGGTTTCTGCACCCATTGACCAGTTCGCTGAATGTATTCACACGGTTTCTTAGTCTTCTATCTTCAATTTGATTACATTTTTACGACTGAGCATTCCTGTTAGGCCACATGTTTCTACAAAATGCGTTCACCTCAGAGCTATTCTGAAGTTCTCCTCAAACAACTCTAGATAGACCTGGAATTGGGGCTTAACAGCTTTTGTAAACAATGACTTCTTTTGATGATTTCTAGAAATTTAAGGCTTGCCAACGCAAAACAACAATACCATCGGGTAGGAGAAGAGTTCCCCTACCCGACGGTTATGTTTGTTTGCGTGGGCGTGCCTTGAGTTCCTAGAAATCATCGATAGAACTTTGAATTTCTTCTCTGAAGTTCTCTTTAGAACAATTCTGAAGTTCTCCTTAGAACTACTATGAAGTTCTCCTCAGAGCTACTCTGAAGTCCTCATCAGAACTACTCTGAAGCTCTCCTCTGAACCATTCTGTAGCTCTCCTCAGAACTACTCTGAAGCTCTACTTAGAACTACTCCGAAGTTCTCCTCAGAACTACTCTGAATTTTTCATCGCAAATACTCTGAAATGCTCATCAGAAATACTCTGAAGTTCTCATCTGAACCATTCTGAAGCTCTCCTCAAAACTACTCTGAATTTCTCCGTAGAACTACTGTGAAGTTCTCATCTAAACCATTCTGAAGTTTTCATCAGAAATACTCTGAAGTTCTCCTCAGAACTACTCTGCAGTTCTCCTCAGAACTACTCTGAAGCTCTCCTCAGAACTACTATGTAGTTCTCCTCTGAACCATTCTGAAGCTCTCCTCAGAGCTACTCTGAAGCTGCACCTTAGAACTAGTCTGAAGTTCTCTTTAGAACTACTCTGAAGTTCTCTTTAGAACTACTCTGAAGTTCTCCTCAGAACTACTCTGAAGTTCTCGTCTGAACCATTCTGAAGTTCTCCTCAGAACTACTCTGCAGTTCTCCTCAGAACTACTCTGCAGCTCTCCTCAGAACTACTCTGAAGTTCTCATCTAAACCATTTTGAAGTTTTCCTCAGAAATACTCTGAAGTTCTCCTCAGAATTACTCTGCAGTTCTCCTCTGAACCATTCTGAAGCTCTCCTCAGAGCTACTCTGAAGCTGCACCTTAGAACTAGTCTGAAGTTCTCTTTAGAACTACTCTGAAGTTCTCTTTAGAACTACTCTGAAGTTCTCCTCAGAACTACTCTGAAGTTCTCGTCTGAACCATTCTGAAGTTCTCCTCAGAACTACTCTGCAGTTCTCCTCAGAACTACTCTGCAGCTCTCCTCAGAACTACTATGTAGTTCTCCTATGAACAATTCTGAAGCTCTCCTCAGAACTACTCTGAAGCTGCACCTTAGAACTAGTCTGAAGTTCTCCTTAGAACTACTCTGAAGTTCTCCTCACAGCTACTCTGAAGTTCATTCTCCTAAGAGCTACTCTGAAGTTCAGCTCAGAACAAATCTGAAGTCCTCCTCAGAACTACTCTGAAGTTCTCCTCTGAACCATTCTGAAGCTCTCCTCAGAACTACTTTGAAGCTCTCCTTAGAACTACTCTTAAGTTCTCCTTAGAACTACTCTGAAGTTCTCCTCAAAACTACTATGAAATTCTCCTCAGAAGTACTCTGAAGTTCTCGTCTGAACCAATCTGAAGTGCTTCTCAGAACTACTCTGAAGCTGCACCTTAGAACTAGTCTGAAGTTCTCCTTAGAACTACTCTGAAGTTCTCCTCAGAGCTACTCTGAAGTTCATTCTCCTCAGAGCTACTCTGAAGTTCACCTCAGAAATAATCTGAAGTGCTCCTCTGAACAATTCTGAACCTCTCCTCAGAACTACTCTGATGCTTCACCTTAGAACTACTCTTAAATTCTCGTCAGAACTACCCTGAAGTTCTCCTCGGAATTAATCTGAAGTTCTTCTCTGAACCATTCTGAAGCTCTCCTCAGAACTACTTTGAAGCTCTCCTCAGAACTACTCTGAAGTTCTCATCTAAACCATTCTGAAGTTTTCCTCAGAAATACTCTGAAGTTCTCCTCAGAATTACTCTGCAGTTCTCCTCTGAACAATTCTGAACCTCTCCTCAGAACTACTATGTAGTTCTCCTCTGAACCATTCTGAAGCTCTCCTCAGAGCTACTCTGAAGCTGCACCTTAGAACTAGTCTGAAGTTCTATTTAGAACTACTCTGAAGTTCTCTTTAGAACTACTCTGAAGTTCTCCTCAGAACTACTCTGAAGTTCTCGTCTGAACCATTCTGAAGTTCTCGTCTGAACCATTCTGAAGTTCGCCTCAGAAATAATCTGAAGTTCTCCTCAGAACTACTCTGCAGTTCTCCTCTGAACAATTCTGAACCTCTCCTCAGAACTACTATGTAGTTCTCCTCTGAACCATTCTGAAGCTCTCCTCAGAGCTACTCTGAAGCTGCACCTTAGAACTAGTCTGAAGTTCTCTTTACAACTACTCTGAAGTTCTCTTTAGAACTACTTTGAAGTTCTCCTCAGAACTACTCTGAAGTTCTCATCTAAACCATTCTGAAGTTTTCCTCAGAAATACTCTGAAG